GCGTGTCACGGGAGAGAAAGAGATTCGATCCTATTCAGCGAGATCATATCGATCCTTAATAATCAGACCCGCATCAGGATTTCACTACAAACGATTCGATTCGATCTTTCTTCACGCCCGTTGCAAATTTTAAACTGGTTTCTGCGTGACGTAAAGAAGAGTATTGTCGTTCGAGTCCTTGCGATATTTCTTCAATGACTTCGAGTCATCTTGCGCGACATCAAACGACCTTAAGTGACCTTGGAATGACCTTGAACGACTTTGCGTGCCACAGAACGTCGTCGAACGACACGAACGACATTTTACATAAGAAATGATTACAATTTTCGTAGTTTCTCGACAATTTTCTCCTCGGCACAATGTTACCAAACAGTTGCGCATCGAAATTACAACGGAACCTGCGAAGCGAATACGTTTACTTCGCGAAGTCGTCGTTCCCGGTAAACGGGCATAACCGAGCACAATACACCTGCGATCGTGGAACAGTTTTCACTCTCAGAAACGACGGTTCTGCGTCGATCGCGCGGCAACTTCCCTATCGCGATCGAGTAAAAGTGGGTCTTCGAACGCAACGGAATATCTCAGGACTGATCGAGCATACTAACTCCTTAGAAACCACGTTGGAAACTGTCTCTCTCTCTCTCTCGTTCGTCCATTCACCACCAGGCAAACGAAGAAGATCGCAGACGGTAGATCGTCGTGTAATGTTGTGTTCTGCGTTGGACACCCGATTACGTTTCCTCGTTCCCCCGGCGCAATTAAACAAACTACACGCTGAACCGGGCCCGACCTGTTGCCAGGAGAACGAAATAGAAAGTGGCGCGGGTACACAGACGAAAAGCGTGGACGGAAAAGGGAACACGGAAAGAGGAGAAGATGGACGATGCGCGGCAGGACGAGGGGAGGGATCGAATATTCACGGAGAGCCTGTGCACTCGAGGTCAATCCTCCGCGTGCCCTTTCACTTCTTCCATTTCGGTCTTCCGGTTTGCAGAGAGATTCTCTCCTCTCCTCGGAAGTCGCGCCGCTTTCCTGTCGTCGATTCTCCGCGAAAAATAGCGGAACCACTCTGTCGCCGGGCATTGATTAATCGCTTTCGCGTATAAATACCTCTCCTCGTGGATATCCCGTTCCTTTCTGCACAGTTCGCGCTCTAGCCCGAGGATGAAAGTTTGGACGAGAAATTTTTTTTTTCCCTTTTCTCGATCGAAAACGAAATTTCATTCACTTGCAACGTGTTTCGCTATGTTTTCCTGCGGGGGTACAGGAATTCGCGTGGGAAGAAATGGTATTTAAAAACTTTCTTTTCTTTATCAAGGATTTTCACTCGATACTCGAGGAATTCCATTACGTCGACGCTTTCGACGAGTTATTTTAATCGTCGATCAAGCGAATGCACTTTCGTTGCAGCGCGTGGGCGAATCAGCTGGCTGATTGCTGTACACCGTGACCTTTTCCATCGCGGATAGAAACTCGGTGCGTCGTCCTGGGGACAGATCCAACGAGAAGAATGATTTCCCGTGAAATGCAAAGTGGCCGTGACCGTGCAAGTGGACTTTGTGCGATATTTATTACAGAGGCTTCTCGCTGCTCCGATAAATTGCACGTTATTTACTTCCGCTTTTCCGACGTGTTGCAACGAGATGATTGTTCTTATTAGTTCGCTCGGCGAGCAACTCTTCCTTCCTAGATTTCTGCTGAATCGCTGTAATTGATCAGGCTGAGGTGGTTTACGGGATACGTGGAGATATGCAAATGAAAGGTGTGATACGTGAAAATACAGCGTGGGAACGTGTGCAAAAATATGCGGGAGGTGTAGCAAGTGTATTGCAAATATTCTGTAACAATGGGACCTTTATTATTTAGACACTGTGATCGTAATTTAAATTACAGTAAACTGCAGGGTGGTCACTGGAAGACTGTATGATATAAAACGAAAATAACTTTTACAAACACATGTTTTTTAAATTTTTTATTGTTTTATTTAGAAATATAATTAATGGATTTTTTTCTCTTTTTTTCTCATTCCACAGCATTTTCCACGACCGTACGCAAGGTTTCAGGTCCTAAACGTCGGATTTCGGCTCGAATGTTCTTCAATTGTTCGAGGTTTATTTATGTAAACCCGTTCTTTCAAGTAGCCCCCCCAGAAAGAAGTCTGGTGCCGTCAAATCAGGTGAACGCAAAGGCTAAACAAATTCAGCATTTTTTTTTTTTCCGTATTTTCTCTGAGTTTGAATAATTCATCTTTCACTGGAATAGAAGAACTCACGTTGCTGGACATCATGCGTAGCCATTTTAATCTCCAAGGGATGCTCTATAGTCTACAAAAAAAGAAAATAAAAAAATTTGAAAATGAACAAGTTACGACTTTTTCAAACCATTCGGTCTTTCAGTGGCCACCCTGTATAAGCATTTTTTTCTATATTTTTCTGTCTTCAAGGACGACTTTTTTAAAGTTACAGGAAGTGATGGAACTTTTATATTTTATTTATTTTAAATTTATGGCAGTTAAATTTTTTTCTTTTTTTGGAGATTCACTATGCTTTCATGTCGTTTCCATCACAAATATTGGAATTTCTTAAAAAAACTAAACGTACGCGTATGCGTCTGTGTGTATATCAGTTAAAATCAATTTACAAGCGGAAAATATGTGACATAATAATAATACCAACTATATTTCTCCATACATTCTTAAAAAAAAGGATACAAAACACACGAAGTATGCAAAAATCGTCCAAAAACGAAACTAATTTTTTATCCAAGCCTCACTTTATTACCAATTTCCCATAAATTGCTGTTCCATTCTTTCATACGTTCACTTCAATGTGATACCTAGAACACTACGTAAAGTTCCCATTTTTCGGACAACCCGTTTTAGAACAAACCTCGGTCATTACGAACCTATTACTCGGATGTGCACTCCTGCGAACTCCTTATCTGACTGTATTGACCTTTTCTCTACCTCCCTATTTTCCGTCAAACGCTCTGCTATCTTTGCTACTAAGGATATCTGCCAATAAGAATCTCCAACTCTTAATTTAATCAAAATTATTACTTTGTTACGTTCTTTATCTACTCTCCTGCAAAACAACACAACTTTCTGTACTTCTTTATCTTTCTTTTCATTTATGTACCGACTTCGTAAGGATACTCGTTATACAGGGTGTCCCGTAAAGAGTGTAAGATTCTGAACAACTTTTTCCTTTACCAAAATGTTGTTCGAAGCTCCGTTTTTGAATTATTAACGAAAAACACTGGCCAATCGGAGCGCGCGTAGAGCCCCCGCTCAGGGACGGCCGAACGAAGATAAAGGAAAAAGTTGTTCAGAGTGACCCCAGCAACCCCCCATTTCCGGGTGTTACACTCTTTACGGGACACCCTGTATATAGTATTAATATATTTGTATTTGTAATGGAAATTTATTTCCGTTAATCAATTTAAATAAATAAATAAATAGAGACGTGCATTTGCCGGAACATCCTCAGTTTACCGATCGTTAAAACCTCCGTTTCCGTTAACAAGTCTACCAACTATCCTTAACAGAGAGGATTCGACGAAAGTTTGTTCGGAACAGACAGAAGCTGGCATTACCTCGTAACAATGTTTACGCTCGTGAAAGAATAGAAGAAGAAATATACGTCGTGGCGATAGCTAACGGAAGAAACTGGTCTCTCGATCGACAATTACAAGGCACTTTACACCGTGAAAAAAAGTTGCGTAAAAAGAAGAAAAGAACAAATCTATGCGCACCGCTTAGGTTCAATCGACGTTCAAGCGGCATTTTAATTACAGTACTGTTTTAGATCGACAAGTTTCACGCCGGTTTTGTTTCCTTCATTCCTCGCAAGCTGTTCCACCAGTTCGAACTTGAGACCAGTTTCACAATCTGCATACGATTCTGTCCAAGTGTTCCTTTCACCGGCGTCAGAAACCTTACAGAGTAGCAAAACGAACGATTTTTCCGTGGTTTTTGCCGAGTTGCTAGGATATGCCGCTTCGAGTGTCCTTTAACAGTTCACGTTTCACCGGAGAACAGCTGGAATATCATACTTTCTTTCTCTCCGGCTAAGAAACGATGGAAATTCCGGTGACTTTTTCACTTCCTTTCGCCGTCACTTGGTCCAAGTTCCTTTTTTTCGTTTTAATTCGGCGGAACTTGGAGGACTTTCGCGGATTGAACAAAGCTGCCGGCGCCTTTGGGCATTCCGGGGGAACGTGGACCCGCGAAAAGTCATTAACGACGTGAGCTGGGAATAATTGAACAGCTTTGGAGTGGATTTTGGAGATCTCGCGGAGTTATGCTTTAGAGGAATTTTACTTTCTTCCGGGTTTTCGAGATCTTGGAAAATTCAACAATACTACCGAAGACATAGGTCTTTTGGAACCTCGAGGAAGAATCTTCCGAATAAAAAATAACCCCAACTCTTAATTTCCTTCTTTCAATAAATATCATTCGTTATTCACTCAATTTTTAATTCTCTTCTAAAGCATAAAGTGCTCTGTTTAAAAAGTCGAGGTGATCTTCAAAAATGTATGCATAAACGGTTTATAAAAAATACCCCTAACTCTTCGTTTCCTCTTTCCACTAAGTGTCATTGATTCCTTATTCCCTCAATTTTTAATTCTCTTCTAATCTTCGCAAAGAAATATAGAGTGCTCTGTTTAAAAAATTACAGTGACATTCAAAAATTTATTCATAAACGGTTTATAAAAAATACCCCTAACTCTTCGTTTCCTCTTTCCACTAAGTGTCATTGATTCCTTATTCCCTCAATTTTTAATTCTCTTCTAATCTTCGTAAAGAAATACGGAGTGCTCTGTTTACAAAATCGAGGTGATCTTCAAAAATGTATGCATAAACGATTTAGAAAGAAAAAAATTATTCCAACATTGTCCCCTTTGAAATCATGTAACTTTTCTTTCATAAATTGTTTCATAGGAGTAATTTTCGAGTATGTAACTTCAAGTCGTTAAATTAAACGAATCACGCTGTATAATAGCAGTGAAGAAAAGAAGAAATATCACGTTCTTCGAAATTTCTCAAAAAATTGACACAATTGCGAAAAGAATAATGTTCACGCCGTTCGAAATCTCCGAGATACCTTCGGCGAGTCGCAAATGGGTATTCCAAGGTTCATGGGAAACACGGCTGGCGCGTGTTCGCGTGAACATCGTGGAAGGTGAGCGTTAACCTTCCTGCTTGCGCGCTAACCCGTCCCGGATAATAAAGCGTCTTCTCAGGACTTGGTGGGGCGGGAAGGAGAGGGAGGGCAGAAAAGATCGAGAGGATCTCGCGTCTCCGCGACTATAGAACGACTTTCACGACTTTCGAACGTTCAGCCGGTCATCGGACCTCGGAGTGAAAGTAAACGGGGAAGATGTGATCCTCGCGGCCGTGGCATTCGATCGTTACTTTGTTCTTGCCCGAGCTCCTGGCCGATCGCTTCATCCGCTGGACCGTGCGCTGCCTTAAGCCCGTTACACGCGGGCCAAAATCGATCGACGAATCTGTGAACTTTTTTTCCTTTTCTCCGACAGTGAACTGCACGTTAAGTCTTACGAAGCTGAAATTTGTCGATATTTGCGAATTATTGTTACGATAAAGTGTGCTCTGGGCTGCGATAATTTCTCACTTTTCACGCAAAATGTGTCAATTGGGTAATTAAGTGAAAATTACACTTTATCGAATGTTTCACTTTGCGAAATTCACTTTCTGTTTCACTCTCACTTTTGCTCATCCGCGAGAGAAAAGATCTGCAAACACACTTTGTTGCTGCTGCTTTTGTTTTCGTTCCTAGGCACAAAAGCGAAGATAGTATTGAACGCACGTATAGTCACACTTGTATTAAACTGCATAGTACTTAAACGCTTAATATAGCAACTAGCTGACTGAATTCTAACGAGTGGTACTTTAATTCGAATTCCTATTATCAACGACAACGTTTGTGAATTGAAATATTTCTTCGATTTCAGCAACGTGTGGTGAAATCGATGCTCGTGAATTTGGTAGAATTTAAATGGAACAAATGTAACAGACTCGATTTAAAGATCCCGATGTTGATCGAGGTTATTAAGTGAAAATCGACCCGTGTGGCGGGGGCTTAATTGGCCGAGCGCAGCCCGAAGGGGCCGTAATTACGTCGGCGAAGGAAAGTGCAGTACGTTTCGGTGTATTTTTACCGGGATCTTGTAATTGTCCTCTTAGTGGTCCGGTTAGCTTTTGGAGAAAGAAAGGGTACCAAGTTTTATTCGTGTGTATACAACAGCGATGTATGTTACAGAATTTCTTTTCACATCGATCTATCGATGATTTTGCGATGTCAGTGATCTACGTACTAATGTAATTCTAAGTTTAACTATATATATATATATGTGTAAATCTTTGCCATTGTTCATCCTTCGATGTAATATGTACAATTTAAAAGGATCTGTCGTCGCTTGAACCTAACTACGATAACAAAGGTGCAAAATACGATTCACAGTATTCGAACGAACTTTCCACGAAAAGGAGAGCCTGTAGCTGCTTGTCATGAAATAATAGATACAAAAAGAATTACTTTCACCGATGTCTGGGGAATATATTAGAGGCCGTATGCTAATCGCTCGAACACTCTTGCGTTCGATTCAAGAGAGTGATTGGACTTGAAACGATGCTTTTATCATCTTTTAGAGTTTCTTCGAACATCTGCTAATTATGGTAGATTTAACGACTGTAACTTCTTTTTAATCGAGACTTTTGGGGTTTCAGGTGAGTTTAATGGTTTTAATGGAGATGCAGTGTTATTAAAATGTTGGATATTACAAAAGTTTGGACGTGGCTTAAACATTGGGAGTCTTGACTAGCGATTCAAGCAATCCAGGTCGTGAAAGTGTTAAACCAACTTTGAAAATTATTATTTTCGAATGGAAAAAAGGATTCATCTGTAAAATTCATTCTCATTCTGTTGGAAGAATCTTAAGCTTCGCGAATCTTAAGCCTCACAAATCTTAATTTTCGCGAATTTTAGTCTTCGCGAATTTTAATCTTCGCGAATTTTAATCTTTGGGAATTTTAATCTTCGCGAATCTATCTTCGTGAATCTTAATTTTCACGATTATTAATCTTTGCAAATCTTAATTTTCGCGAATCTTAATCTTCGCGAATCTTAATTTTCACATATTTTAATTTTCACGAATCTTAATCTTCGTGAATCTTAATTTTCACGATTATTAATCTTTGCAAATCTTAATTTTCGCGAATCTTAATCTTCGCGAATCTTAATTTTCACATATTTTAATTTTCACGAATCTTAATCTTCGTGAATCTTAATTTTCACGAATATTAATCTTTGCAAATCTTAATTTTCACGATTATTAATCTTCGCGAATCTCAATTTTCCGGAATCTCAATCTCCCCAAATTCACCCCGAAAGAAGCATCCACAGTGTCCCTCCATCACCCCCAAACATAACCTAATTTCACATGGGAGACCGTGCAGCCGTCCTCCATGCATGTCAGTGTACCCGTAAAACCTTCTAACCTAACCAGAACCACCTTCGACACCGTTACCCATGAACATTCTGCGGGATCGCGATATTAATAGGAACTTGAAAAGTGTGATAAGGAGACGTCTGTATAGGCATGGTTCTAAAATCGTGCGGTGGTTCCATGGTATCTTCTTTAACGTCGTAACCTTGCTTCGGCTGTGCGAAATTCAGCGGCCAGCTGATCGAGCCAGTGTAACCGGAAGCTGGAGAACCACCTGTCGAGTAACCTGTTGTCACCTGTTGAGTCTGATAGCCGTTGCTCAAAGCAGCAACTGCGTTCGGTTGAAATTGTGGCCACGATTTTGTCATCTCTTGCAGCTTCTGTTGATATTCGCCTAAAGCTACGGTGTCTCTCAGAACAATTCCCTCTTTGCTGCCGCCAATGGTGGCCGTTGGAACACCAACTGGTACTATCACAGCTCCTTGTGGCGGAGAAATCACGTTTTTGTAGAGTTCCGCAGCTCTCTGCTGTAAGAGAAGCAGCTGATCTTTGTCCGTAGCGCCGGAAAAGTCCATGGCAGCGTTCGCCACTGAATCCTTGTCGATCGATCTCGAGGTGTAGAATTTTTGGCGATCGTTCCGTCTTTCGTTGTAGTTGAGAGCACTCTCCGCGTCGGGGAAGAACATTTCCGGTTGCGTGGATTCGTAGGAGTGTCCTGAAGGTGAATAGTCGGCGTCTGATGAGGTGAAGGAGGATGAAGAGTACTCTGGTTCTGACTGCTGGGGTTTCTGCTCCTGTTGGCTTTGATGTCTGTAATGATATTTTGGTGGTTAGCAGTGTAGGTTGGAAATAGGTATTTTTCAAGTTGGATTTTTTCGATTTTTGATGAAATTTGAGAGATGTACTCTATGTAGTTGGAGGAATAATATATGTAGAAATCACGACGAAAAAATGTTGACGGACCCAACGGGAATCGAACCCGCGACCTTTGGCTTAGCAAGCCGAGGCTTTGCGCGCTACGCCAATCACTCCCTCCGTATTCTCTCGTGTCGATTTCCTATTTTCCTTGTATGGAGGCCCCGATGCTATATACATAGTAAATAAAAGAATTGGTTTAGTATCTTCTCGATTTTTAATAAAATTTCGAAAATAAATGTACGAAGGAAAATATCGAAGGATATAATAGACCTAAGGTTGAATTGACACGAGATTGAGTTTAATATCTTTTCGATTTTTAATCAAATTTCAAGGATATAATAAACTTAAGCTTGAATTGCTACGAAAATCAGTTCGGTATCCTTTCGATTTTTAATAATATCAGAAAACTAAATCTGTGACTGACTGAATAACAAGCACAGTAAATAAAAAATATCAAAGGACGCGATAGATCTAAACTTAAATCGACACGAGAATCAGTTCACTATCTTTTAGATTTTTAATAAAATTTAAGAATTATATATATAATTAATAAACACGAAGTATAAAAAAATTCGAAATACACAATATATCTGTATTAATTTTTTAAACTAGGTAAGTAGTCCGGTCACCAAGGAGTTCGTTTCACTGTCCGCAGTAGAATATCCCGACAGTAGTCAGACAAGCTACGGCTGCACTACTGATGCTTCAATCGAAAAGCAGAAGTTTAGAAACTTTGTACGTTTCAGTATCGCAATATTAACAAATAAACGCTAATCTAATTGAACTCACTATCTTATCGCAGTATAATTAAATCCTCTGCAATAAATATTGATCTATTTATATGATAATATCGACCTCATTTCTCCAGTGACTAATTACACGAATCAATTAGAGGTCTGAATTAACCAAAAGCAGTAGAGACGTTCATCGTCTCATCTACTATAATATCGTTCCAGAAAACTAGGGCACGTCTCCTTTCTAGCCAACGCCTTTTCCTTCATTCTTCGAATATTACGTTGTCATTCAAATAGCTGCCGTATCTAAACGAAAAATAAATTATAGCGAACTGTGTTAAAAGAAAAAGTGTAACATAGATCTGTCTCGATTTCTAAAGTTACTCGGATCTATCTGCGCTTATCTTGAAGATTACTCGAATCTGTTTGTGTTAGGTTTGAGTAGTTACTCGAATTTATTAATTTTAGTTTTGAATAATTAGTGGAATCTATTAATTTTAATTTGGAAAATTACTCGAATCTATTAATTTTAATTTTGAAAATTACTCGAGTCTATTAATTTCTAAAATTACTCGAATCTATTTATTTTAATTTTGAAAATTACTCGAGTCTATTAATTTCTAAAATTACTCGAATCTATTTATTTTAATTTTGAAAATTACTCGAGTCTATTAATTTTAATTTCTAAAATTACCCCAATCTGTTTATTTTAATTTTGAAAATTACTCGAATCAATTTACCTCAATTTCTAAAATTTCTCAAAAACTCGCGGCCAAAATTTGGAAAATTACTCGAATCAATCTAAGTTAATTTCTAAAATGACTCGAATCTCTTTATCTCAATTTCTAAAATTCCTCAAAAACTCGAAGATTTCTCTCACCTCTCGCGGCCAAGTGAAAATGTGCCCTTGATCTGATCGTAAGGTACGTAACCCTTCCCGTACGTAACCGCGTGACTGACACCTTTTCCATGAGGAATCCGCACGTGGTTCACGCGTTCGTGTCCTTGATCGAAATCGTCTCCTCCATGTGGAAACGGTGGATTTACGTACACCGGTTTCTTCTGATGATAATGACCCGGAGGACCGTGGTATCTCTGATATTGAACTTCTTGAGACGATTTCCTATAACGTTGGGGACCCACAGATCGCCAGGGTGGTCCCATACGTCTCGTCTGTTGAGGTATCACCAGTATCACCTTTTTACTGCGGCAACAAACAAAAGAAAAAAAAAGAAAAAGAATAGCGTGAGAATAGCCTGATCTCTAGTTACTCGTTCGGTGATCACGTTACAGTGAAAAGTCGTAGTTTGACACGGTCTGGTAACGAGAGACGTGCGTTTAGCTCGTGTGAATACTCACGCATGGACGAGTAGAGGCTCGCTGATAGCCAGCAGGATGATACAGAAAGCCTGTGAACACGTTACGAGAGATTAATAGGTTTAATTAATAGGATTAATAGGAAGAAACGAGGTTGTGTGTTCAACGTAATAACCGATTGATGTTTAGTATCGGGGAACCTGTTGTCCCGTGAAGGGGATAATGGCCGGTGCTCGATCAGGCGGTCGACGAGTACGAGTAGCTTTGAACGCGGAGTGGGGAAACGAGGGTTGACGATGTCGATATTTCGGCAATTTCACGTGTGTGGATATTACCTGGACGTGTTGATACGTGTATTAACGAGAAAAACGATATTCGGATGTTTGTGGGAAATTTTGTGAAGCGTGGTATTTCGGTAGATAGTTTAGAAGGTCGAAGGATAAATTTTTGATCGTACCCCTAATGTTCCCTATTTTTTGTAACTTGAAAATATTTTATTTCTCATAGTCAGACCCTAAAAAATAAAACGTTCGTTTAACCTAGAATGCTTCAATGTTCGCCAATTTTAAATGCAATATTAAAGACCACCGGTAATCTCAAATTTTACTTCAACAAATAGACTCAGAGTGCTTCATACTAAAAACCACCAATAACCAAGCTCTACTCCAATAAATAATCCACCAATAACCAAACTCCACTCTAATAAATATATTGCCCTATACAAACTATTCTTCTAAGAATCCTTTTCAATATTCAACAAATCTCAACTCTACTCCTTAAAAACCACCAATAACCATGTTAACCACCAATAACCAAGCTCCACTCCAACAAATACACCATCCTATACAAAGCATTCCTCTGACGATACCCTTCCATATTCACCAATTCCATTCCAAAAACCACCAATAACCAAGCTGCACTCCAACGAATAAACCACCAATAACCAATCTCAATTCCAATAAATACACCACCTTACACAAAACATTCCTCCAATAATCCTTTTCAATATTCAACCAATCCCAACTTTATCTCTCAAAAAACCACCAATAACCAAGCCAACCACCAATAACCAAACTCCACTCTAGCAATTAGAGCACCCTATAAAAAATATTCTTCTAAAGATCTTTTTCAATATTCAACCAATTTCAATCCCATACTATAAACCACCAAGAATCAAGCTAACCACCAAGCTCCACTCCAACAAATAGACCACCCTATACAAATCATTCCTCCGACAGTACCTTCCAATATTCAACAAATCTTAACTCTACTCCTCAAAAACCACCAATAACCAAGCTCCACTCCAACAAATACAACATCCTATACAAGGCATTCCTCCGACAATTCTTTCCCATATCCACCAATTTCAATCCCATAGCAAAAACCACCAATAACCAAGCTCAGCTCCAACAAACAAACCACCAATAACCAACCTCAATTCCAACAAATACACCACCCTTCACAAAGCATTCCTCCGACAATACCTTTCGTTATCCACCAAATCTGTCCCTCGAAAAACCAGCAATAACTCCACTTACCGAGTACTTCATGATGGAAATCCCTAACCGTAAGTTAGAATCTCAGGGAAAGCAGAAGCCGTGAAGCGTGTTTGGTGATGGAATTAATCCGAAATAGCAGGGTACGCGGCTGAAAAATGGCCGCGTCTCGTTTGGTAACCTCTGTTCGGTTACTGGTTGCACCCAGGCGGTCGGCCGTGCTCCGTATGCTCCAGCCGGTGCGGACAAATTGCGGGAGGTCCGTGCAGGACTGTTCTCTTTTATACAAGATAAAAAGAGCATAATCGCCGGCCGGACGAACGAAGGAACGGTTGCCTCCCACCGGCACGCTGCTCTCCACAGGCCCTGAGAAAGAGATCGCGCGTCGAGGATCTCCTCGACGTTGGAAACGACGTTGTGGCGTGCCGATACGAAACGGACAGCCGAGCACCGTTCCACGGGCCGTTGTGATTTTTGTTTCGGGGGAAATCGGCACTTTCTTCTGCTTCGCCTAGGCGCGTTCACCAGGTGTCCGGGATACGCGCCGATACCACCTGAGAGACGCGAACGTACGGCGAAGCCGCGCCCCGTCGACATCAGGTGCTTTCCAAAATGCGACCAACAAGAACGAGATCGCCGTTCTACATTTCGCGGAACGAGACGTAGATCTTGTATGCTCGAACAGGCTCGATCGATCCTCGATTGTCCTCGGTTCAGGATTGCACAGGTACGGTGACGTGGGAAGATGCGATTGGATGACTTTAGTGGACATTTTGTAGGTTGATGATGGTTTTTGGGGAGATTACTGTTGTTGTACTAAATTGCACAGCGGTCTCATCTGTGGACTTAGGATTTTCAGGCATCTGTGGGAAATCTGAAGTGCAAAATTGCACAGAATGCAGGTGATACGAAATGACATAAGAATTATAGTGGTTTTTGTAACAACTGGTAGGCGAAATAATTTTTTATCCAAGTTCTACTTTTTTCTCAGAAATGTGAATTTTCGTAAAAATCTGTAGTTTACTTGTCAGTTCGCGAAGGGGATGCAATTTTTGTACAGATAGAGGGAAATTCGTAAATGTCTCTCAAGAGCATTTTTGAAGGATGACAGAATCAGAGAAAGCAAAATACGAATTACACCAACTCAGATAGAAAGATTTATTTGTTGAATTTGAGTTGGATGTTTCGTTGACACTTTGTGGTGACATTGTTACCATTTTGGTTCTCGATACAGGACAACTTTCGAGCGTATTAGAAGACGAATTGTTACACTTGCTGCATCGGTCAGTTTCGTTTGCTAAAATTCCTAACTTAGGTGGTATTCGAATTTTAAAAGTACGAACCAAGCGAGAATACAGTGTCTGGATATCTCTTTTACATAATTCAGCTTTATCTTCTTCGAATTGGAAGGAATTCAGGGCAGCACTGAAGATTGCACAATTTCGTAACACAGTTGCATTAACTACATTCGAATTTTCTCGCAATCAGCGGCAATTTATCGTATCGTATAACGAGGATCATCGATAATCAGAAATCTTTCCACTTTCCTCGTGCAACCAATTCTCCCTTCGTCTTTAATTAAAACAAATAACCAAACTTTCACTGTCAACCGATTCACCAGATTCTCCCCCTAATCCTCCGGCTTTTCTCCAAAAAGAAAATAACGAAGTTTCTCAAATTTCCATTCAAAAGCCTCCTCTCTCACGGAGAGCCATTCATCGCCTACTTTCGATGGCTCCTATCGCGTTTCAAACGCTCACTCTCACACTCCACATTATCCCGTGAAACTAGTTCACGTCCCTGCAAGCAATTACAGCCAGGAGGAAGTGACAAATGCGAAGAGAGTAAAAAAAAAAGTCGAAGCTGAAAGCGCATCTCTTTCGATACTCCGACGCACGATGGATGAAATATCATCGCTCAGCCGCGTCTTCTTCTTCCCTCGTCTTCGTTAGAAACCAACATTTTCACTGAAACAATTTCTTTTTTCTTCTTTCTTTCTTAATATATATATATTACAGCGGAGCTTCGTGTTCGTTACGGTCCACATGCACGAATTGTCTACGGTACGCGTCGGTGGTGTAAAAACCACGGACCAACTCCAATTAACTCATTCACGCGATGGATTTTCTTGCGAGCTCTGACGAACAGAAGAAGAACTTTTTTCTCGCGGCAAGTCATTCACTCCTGCGCCTCGAGTATCCACGATTTTCGAGGCGTATTTCGACGCGGAGAGAGAAAAAAAGCCAGACGGGTGAAAGCGATCGCGTTGAAAGTTCGGCCTTACGGACAGCTGTTTTTTCGTTCTGCGAACATTTGCATGAACGATGGAAAATCACCGGTCTTACACGATCGAGTACTCTTCGAGAGAGGAAAAGTTGGTTTTATTAGTGGAGCTTGGATTAGACATACTGGTTCTTGTTTCTAGGAAAAATCGTTTATTCGAAGTAGACGCAGTTGAAGAGTTTGTGTAGATTTGAGAAAGATTGACGATCGCTTATCAAACGCCAGATAATACGGTAACAGTGAAATCTGTTGGATTAGTAAACACCACTTAGGAGTTGTGACGATGTAAATGGCCACTTTCTAACCCTCCCCCATGGGACTACGTAGAATTCCCGTGAAGCAGTCAGCCTTGATACGACATTGGAAATTGTTGTAGAATTTGCGTCCGGGGAATGTCGGATTAACTACGCTCCATCGAGACGATGACGATGACGTGAACGGAACGTCACAGTGACGCAAAGTGTCTTCATAATTGATATGGAGCAGTCGTTGTTCGTAAATATTGCAATGCACTCACCGTTTATGATTAACTATGTTGTATTGTGTCAATTTTTCACTTCCTACCCCCGAAAACACTGATTCGTTATATGTTAATCTTGACGAAACTTCTGAACACTTCGAAACTTCCTAAACTTGACGATTCCTGTGATTTCTCACTCCTAACCTTTCTAAACCTTTGAGATCTTTGTTGTTTATCAGTGGTTAAGGTTTAGTTTCCACGGTAAACCTGCGTGAATTATTCTATCGAATACAATAATAGCATAGAAATATGAAGTTTTCTTAATCATTTTGTTCGAATTTTCATTAGGCGTACACGATTCCTTATGCAAAAGTGAATAGAAAATGTGGAATAAAATTTTTCCCTCCGACGCTTAGTTTGAGAGAAAATCGACTTTGAAAATCCTTCGGGCGCGTTTCCATGAATATAACTAAAACGCTATTTTCTCAGAAACTAAGCCTCGTACGAAAAAATTGTATTCCACATTTTCTATTTATTTTTGCATAAGGAATCACTTCCCGCTGGTTTCTACAATACTTTCGGTATATAGTAAGACAGTTGAAACAGCCAGGTTCAACGAACTTCGTTAAAATACGAATGAAGTTCGTGTATAGAGAGCATGTGTTATTCTTAACAAGCTGAACGAAAGTGGAGAATTTCTGCAAAATAACTCCCTAACGAGACACGAAATCCACGGAGAGAGAGCACACGATTTGCACCAGAGAAATCGAAGAAATACAAACGCAGTCCTCCACCGTCCGATACTACGACGAATTAATTTCTATTATATCAGTCGCGGAATATTTCTCGTACATTATCGATCGCTAGATCGCTAGATCAGTCCGCGTGAATTCCTCAAGGTGAAAGATAAGACAGTTGCTTACAGATCGCAGGATTAAGAGGTCCTTCTGCTACTTTCTAATAATATCGCGGGGGGGTTTCGTTAGAAATGCAAAAAAAGTAACGAACCAACTTCAAAGTGTATTAACCGCGAGTCAGAGAGGAAACTTCCTGGTTTCGCGACAGCGTGTGATTACTTTGTGGATTTCACGGGAGCTCGGTTAATTTCGGTTTATTATGTCAGGAAGAACGGAAGAAGGAAAGGAAGGAAGTTTTCGAGGCAAGTGTCCGTGGCGTTTGTTTCAGTTTCCTCTGTTTCTCGCGAATAATAGAAACGCGCCTCTGGATCACAGTAATTTCTTAATCAGTCTAGATTTTATTTCGCAAAATCAACTTTCTCTGCGAAAGTTGCGCGAATTTCCTCGTCGACGGTCAATATAACTGGTCGTTCGATCTAAATTCCGGAAGAGGATCATTTTCGCGGGTACTGCACGATCTATCAGGCGAAAAAGGGTTTAATATACCGAAGTTGACGTCGATTCTGCGTACCGATGTTGTTCTCTTCCTCGTATCGTCATTATCTGCCATTATTCTATTCACCAGTCCCTAAATTGGACTTCACACTTTCTCTACATTTTCCCCGTAATAGTCCAGGCATTTAAAAGGAGCGATATTACGCTGTAATCGCTGTAACAAATCGAATTTGTTATTTGAACTGAAACGCTATGAATATACATTTCGATATCTCTTGAACCTCCTCGTCTACCTTCAAAGATACTTAAAAATATAAGAAAGTCGTTTAAAAGAAGAAGAAACGTCCCTGAAATGAAA